GCTGACCTCAATGTCCTCATGACTGGGCTCATCTCCACATGGCTTCTCCTCCCATCTCTGCATCCTCCCCAGGTGACCACATCAGCCCCAAGGCCCCAAACCCACATCTCCAGCCCCAGCCTCCTCCCGGAATTCCACACGCACAAACCCAGTGCTTGTCTGGGGGTTGTCACGGGAAAATCAACCTAGAATGACCCCAAAAGAGAACTGAGCATATCCCTGGGTCTGCCCCTTCTGGCTCTCCAGCTGCTCCAGAGGATGTTCCGCAAGTTCCCGGATTCCTCTCTCTGCTCGGCTCAACGGCCACTGCAGAGGCAACACCACTGGCCACGGCGCTGGAAGCAGCCACCCACCTCCGTGCTCCGTGGCACTATTGACAGGGGCCAGAACGCGCAAGCAGCCCGAGCCCCACCAACAGATGCACGGATAAACAGTGTGGTCTGTCCATCCGGTGGAATATCAGTCAGTCTTAAGAAGGAAGGAAATTCTGACACCTGCAACCGCATGGATGAACCTTGAGGACATCATGCTGAGTGACATGAGCCAGTCACAGAAGGACAACACTGTGAGATTCCACCTGTACGAGGTGCCATAATGCCACTGAACTGCACACCTAAAAATGGTTAAGAAGGTAAATTTTATGTTATGTGTATTTCACCATAATTAAAAATTAAAAAAAGAAAAAAAGATAGCCTGACTAGGACTCACAGGCAGCGCTCAGCCATGCGCAGGATGCTCCTCGGGTCTTCCAGCCTCAGTGTCCCCCCACCATCTTCCTCACACCGCAGCCACAGGGTCATCTTAAAATGTCATCCTCATCATCCCACTCCCCTGTGGCCCCAATGGCACCCAGAATAAAATCCACACCCCTTACCCCGTCTTATGGTCCTACATGATCTTCCCCATCGCCCTCTCCCCTCGTAGTAGTGACACCTCCCTGTCACCCTGTGGTCCCTCTTCCCGCCCCAGGGCCTCTGCACGTCCTGTCTTCTGCCTGGAGTGCTGCCGCCCTCGTCAGCCAGTGCCTGCTCCTCAGCCATCCAGGTCTCAGCTAAACGGCCCTCATCAGAGAGACTTTCCATGCCGAGCACCCCTCAGTCCCGCTCTGCCACATCCCTGCTTTAATCCCTGCACAGGAGCAACCGCAACCCGATTTCATTCTTGTTTGTTTATAGCCCTTTCTCCTGTGAGTCTCTGAGGACTGAGAACCTGTAGGTCTTGTTTCTGCTGCACCTGTCACATCTAGAACAGTTCCTGGTACTCAGAAGTGCTGGACAAACATTTGTGGAAGGGAGGGAGGGCACAGGAGGAGGGACGGAGACGGGGTGGCAGGGAAGAACTGAGCTTTCCCATGGCATCTCTTCAGCCCCAACACTGACATTCACATAAACAGCTTCAAGACGTTCCATCTTCCATGTCAGCTATTTTTCTGTGGCTGTTTGATTTTTTTTTTTTTTTTTTTTTGCAAAGACCTATTAGAATAATACAGGTAGGATATTGTTTGTTTCCTGGTGAAGACTGTTATGAAACATCCTTTTCTCTTAAGCCGCACATGGATTTGTTTGTTCTGGCTCAAGATGCAAAGGCCATACTGATTTTAGGCTAAAAGCTCAGGGCTTCCTGGGGTGCTCTGGGCTATCCTGCCCCCCAGGGGTTTGGTGGGGGCCCCAGCACTCGGGCCATCTTTGGGCAGCCCAGGAAGGCACAGCGCAGCAGGTAGGAATACCCCAGAACAAGGAGCCATATTCTAGGGACACACCTACACTCAGGGACAAAACAGTGACATGGTAACCAGAAAGCAGCATTAAATATTAACTAATGTTAAATGTGCCTAAAAACACACCATACACCATCGTACTGATCTTAGCATTAATTTCTTTCACGGCCATGGGCTGTCCTGGACACCCCAGGTTCTAGGAGACCATGAATTTGCTTTTTACTTAAATAGTCTGGGTTGGATTTCTGGACCAACCTCCACCTTAACAGGCCTTCAGGGACACAAACCTAAATGTCCATCAATAGGGGATCCCTGAAATACAGCTCAGGCTACCACTGTAATGGGGTACTGTGCAATCAAAACAGAATGGTAACATACACCTCCACTTGCTGACAGATCTGGACAACACAATGTTGGTGGGAAAAAATAAGCTCCTACTTCACACAAAGCAAAAAACACATTTGAGTCCAGAGAGCTATCAGCACAGACGTTCACCTCAATGGTGACGGTGGTCTGTCTGCGTCACTGATTTTATTTTTAAATAAACTTTTTATTTTGGAACAGTTTTGATGTGTGGAACAATTGCAGACAGAGTGCAGAGCGTCCCCACAGACCCGCCCAGCTGCCCGCGTTACTCCCACTGCCACATCAGTGCGGCACTTTCTTCCAGTTCCCTCAGTTTCCACCCACTGTCCTCCTCCTGTGCCAGGACCCCACCCAGGATCCCACGTGACACTGAGTCGTCCTGTCACTTTGGCTCCCCTGGGCTGTGGCAGTTTCTCGATGTCCCTTGTTTTGGTGACCTCGGCAGTTTGGGGGGATTGCTCAGGTCTTGTGCAGGACGTTAGTTCGCTGACATTCAGGTGACTTTCACCTTCTCCTCAGTACTCTCCCCTACTGTTCTGTTGTTCTGCGGGAGTGCAGGTCAGGCTTACAGTTTAAAAGCCTATTTTATTTTGGGAAGCGCAGGGC